TGCAAAGACGAGAGATAAATGGTTGCCTAGAGTCCCAATGTCAACCTGGGAGAAGCCTTCCTCAGGTTGTCACCATCACAGGCACTTTGTGGACCAGAGCGGTATTTTCCATCATGCAACTAGTTCGATATAAGGACGGCGGTGATTGTTTACTCCGAGCAGGACTTTCGGTTGAAAGCGGTGGTCTCCCTCCCAGCTTCGGAGACTCTTCCGGAGGGATGAACCTTTTCACTGCACATTACAGCCCGTCACCCAGAAAATCCCTCAACCGCGATGAGGCGGTAAACCATTGGAAGGAGAGCCATTGTGCAGAAGAAAAATATCTGAGCGACAACACACGATCGTTCATGGAGTAACCAGTCACTTACACTCACTTTTCGTCAGTGTTCTTCTTAAATGCTCCCAACGGTTTACCGCCTTATCGTGGCTGTGAGGTGTTACTGGGTGTTGGATTGCAATCTATTATTTTTATTTTTATTTTTTTATTTTTGTGTTTGTTTTTATTTTTATTTTTAGTTTTATTTATTTTTCTATTTTTATTTTTATTTTCAGTTTTATTTTTATTTTTTCATTTTTACTTTTTTTATTCTTATTTTTGTTTTCATTTCTTTATTTTTATTTGTTTCATTTTTGTTTTTATTTTTGTTTATTTTTTTCTCTTTTTATTTCTACTTATTTGTTATTTTTTTTATTTTTATTTCTGTTCATTTATTATTTTTTTTTTATTTTTATTTTTACATTTATTTTTGTTTTCTATTTTTCTTTTTATTGTTGTTGTTGTTGGTCGATGGCTGACCTTTGGCAATTTCTCCTTCCACAGAACCGTGCTGTGACGAGTGGAAATCTGCTATGTAATTATGTATTGTTTTATCTACCGTGGTTATGAAAGTGTTTGGCTGAGAGGTTTGAGCGTCAATTCGACTTTTCCAGCTCCTGTAGAAAGCGAAGCATCCGAAACATCGGCCAGTACTGTATTGAATAAATTTCGATGTTAACAACCTCATGTCGGGTCATCGAGAAAACTGTGAAATGGTTGGAGCTCTTTAAGCCAAAAAATCAATTGAGGCGGAAAAAACTGACACGAAAACTGCACATCTAAATATTACTGCTTCAGTTGGATGCTCGTCTAATTCTATTCATAAGCTTACACAAGGTTTAAAAAGTTTATGTTGGCTAACTCCTCGTCGCTTTACCTTCTTCAGAGTCTGCGTAATTCGAGCCGATTGTTCACAATCGTGCTTTTCAGCCACGTTTGCAAATCTATCACTCATTTCAACAGTAGTTCTATTAATTGAGGTGGTTGGATTCATCTCAAGATATTTGCTTGGTGGTGAAGCTCAATATAGCTGCTACAGATCAACTTGACATTAGTGGTAGAAAATAAAAATAATCGGTGACGGTTTTTTGTTACTTGTCGATCCGTTAGCAGTCGATGGCACATCATCTCATTTGCACGACAATAGGTTCCCTACCACTTAGTGTCGGGAGAGTACTTCCTCATTACCCGCCTTTCGGCTGTTTTCCTTCAATGCATTTCAACGTTTTCACGACGACTTAGAAGTATACAGCGAAAACGCCTTGAAATGTGTTGCAGATTGAACCTACGAAGCATTATGAGCGCTTTAATATTCAAATGAGAGAATAGACCTAGTACCTTTGCTATGAAATGGTGTATTAAGTATGTTGTAATACCTTTTTATTTTCTGCCTACTATAATTTCGCGGCAGGGTACAAAGCGAAATACAGGATGGGTGATTGCTGTGGCAAAGATCGATAGAAATAGCTGAGAGACAGGCGAAACGAAGGACCCGCATGGTGTGGTGGTGAACGCGTTACTCCCCGGAAAGGACAATAGCGTGTTCGTTCCCCACCATAGACACCTGCGGTCCAGAGTTTTGCAAATATCTCAGCAACGTTGTGGTTGTATTTCGCTTAGCATGTTGTAATATTTTTTTAACTCTTCCAAACAGACTTTTATTCAACCTCGGCACGAAAAATCGGTATTTCCCTAAGATGATTGCCAGGATTGGATGTTTGCCCTTGTCTGCCAGGCCCAGACAGAACAGTTACAGTGTCCAGGAAGTCAGTGATGAAAAGATTCGCGACTATTACCCGATTCTCTTCAGCAGCCACGTCCTCTTGCCCGTCGTACGAAATAAGAGAGGAGGGATATAATGTTCCAGCGCTTCCACCTTCCAAAATCCGACGTGTTATTTCGTCGGCGACGATTCGAACAACATCTCGTTCGGAGTTGATGAGAACAGAATACCAAAAGAATCTTTCACTAGTTCTCATAAACACACTTAAACACATAGTTGGGATATTCACACGTTATCTGCCGGAATGTATGATTCCTATTCAACAGAATACCAGTTAGACCATACTGTTTTTCAAGAAAGGTGACCCCCACGATATCGGCAACTACCGCTCAATGTGCTTGTTGACAGCCCTCTACAAACTTTTCACTCGAGTCATCCTGAACAAGACTGACAGAACACTGGACGAAGGACAGCCATGTGAGCACAGGGTGTCGACAAGGATTCAGTACGAGGGACCACATCCACAGGATAACAAGACTCATTGAAGTGTGGCGAGAATACAGAGGCCACTGTGTCTCACTTTTATCGATTTAAGGAAAGCTTTTTACTCAGCTGAGATAGAGGCAGTCATGGAAGCCCTTGACAGCCAAGGCTACTCAATATCTAAAAAATCATAGTGGGCTGAATAAAAAATTCGCAGCGAAAATTTTACCATTTTGTAACGATAATAACGTCCACGTAAAAAGAGCGGTTAGGTAAGGCGATATCATCTCTCCAAAATTATTTTTCGCCACCTTCGAGAACGCTATTCGAACATTAGAATAAGACAACATGGGAGTGAAAATCAATTGTCAGCAATTACACTACGTTCGCTTTGGTGGCGATGTCGCTCTTATGACACCAAACGTTAGTAGGACTAAACGAGGGATTGCCGACTTTGATAATGCTTGTGAAAGGATTGATCATCTGCTGAATCTCTTGAAAACGATGCTCATGAGAAAGGACTGGTTTCGCATGCCCAATCACGTCCAACAGATTGAAAAACTCTGGAAGCCCCAGCTACGTTTATCTAGGTCGGGAAATTAATATAATGAACCATTTAGTTCCAGAGTTGAGCAGAAGGAAACGAGCGGTTTGGGAAGCTTTCGAGAGCATTCATGATGTAGTGAAGAGAATAAAGAACACCCGACTTCGCACACATCTCTCCGACTTCACGATTCTTCCGGCCTTAACGTATGCATCAGACTCCTGTTCGCGATTTAAGCATGATGAAACATTACTAAGCGTTATTGAACGCGCTGTAGAAAGGACGATGCTAGAACCCTCCCGTACCACGCAAATGATGGAAGGGATCCGATGTCCCGATCTAGGTCAACGATGAAAAGCCAAAGACGTTGTCCTTTGCACTAAACTGCAGAACATAAAGCTGGTAGGACACGTATTGTGTCCGAATGGCAACCGATGGAGAAGACTCCTTATTGACTCGATTGCTTGCGAAGTTAAACGTACTACAAGAAGACCACCAACCCAATCGTCAGAGTTCTTCACGAAAACCCTAGAAGAAAGTCGTGTTGCTCAATGGGTCCTTATGGGAACCAGAAGCAGAACCTACAAGGCTATTCTTGCACGCGACAGGGAGAAAACGGTAGGCTTTATAGTGTTCACTTGAGTCCATCAACGTTCACCCAGAAGACAGGTGATACAGATGATATGAGGTTGCTTCAAAACACTAGAAAAACCTAAGATTCGAAAGGTGCTGCGCTCCAACGGACTCGATTCGATATATCTAAGAAGACGTGCATAGCAAGGACGAAAGACTGTGGACACCTGGATCACCACCTCTGAAGAAAACGAAACGTCAAAACGTTAGCCGAGCAAATATTTGCTAACAAACTTGCGCATGCTTAAGGATATAGGAGGATAGTTTTTTAGTTCCCTCACTTGCTTGCGGTTGTTTTTCTCATGATTTCTTTCTCCAACTTTCTCAATTCATTTTTTTTTCTCATTTCACAAACGCTCTTTTTAACATGAAGGAAACAACAATTTTCAGAACAACTAGAATAGAAGAGAAGTAGTTTGATCAGTGAGCACGCCACAGTTTAAATTTTATAGATAGTGAAAAACTGAAAACGGCTATCAATCCTACACAACGCCCTCCTCGAGGGCGTTAGAAAAAGCTGCTATCACACGTCGAAACACATCAGTGTAGTGCAAAACACTTCAAAACCTTAAAATAATTTCTCAAGTCCTCCTTAGAAATCCTCAGTACTTGATGCAAGGCATATGTAACTTGAAATCAATTCATAAGGCTTAGTTAATTGCAAATTAACCTGCAAATATTATTTAAAAGTGTTCATAAGCGAAGGATCAAATCTAACTAACACATTACCAGTTATTTAGAATGAATTCGACGGCATAAAAAAAGGATGATCAGTTCAATCATATTTCATGGTGTGTGCCTTTCCTGTGAGCGCTTTCACAGTAGATGTTATAAAAACAATCGAGGTAAGAAATGCGACACTGATGATGAGATTTGCAGGCGAATTCCAGGCACTTGGCTTGCAATCCAGATTTGCTGCGTCACACAGATTCCAAACTACCATGTTGATGCATAAGTGAAAAAACTGGAACGAAAAGAGAAAATAAAACAGGGATCGGATTAATCGTTTGGCGCAGATCAAACCCTAAAGGATGTGCCGTGCGCTCGACTTCATCAAGCATAGTAGAGGTATTCAATCCGTAACTGGTTTACACAATGACTGGCGGTGGCCCACCGAACTATAAAGTTGGTGTGTCTATGCTCTGGAGCAGGTTTGGCACCAGTTTGTTGACCCGGGAGGGATGGAAGGTTGAGTGAGAGCGGGCTGGCTCAAAATCAAATCAGCGATTAACCCAGAATGTATTGCAAGGCATCTCTAACCAAGGTGCTTAAAATGTACTAGTCCAGACCATTGTCAGATGCTAAAATCGCCAACAAACCTGATGTCCGTAACCAAAAATGTCGAAAACACCGGGTGCAAATCGTTCAGGTACCTCAGCTCCCATAAAAACTCCGCTCATCAACAGCCAACTGAAGGCTTTTGTGTGAAGGATGAGTGAGCTATCATTAGACGAGTTTTCATTCTGAAGCTCATTCTACGATAAAAATCATGAACCATAAATCACGATGGCCGAAAAGATTAAATATGAAGAACTCAAATAAAAGGCTCCATCGAAACAAAACTATAGAAATAGCACTTAAGTTAGGCCCTGTGCAGGATGCAATTAGTTACCAGGTTTATCTTAGTAATAGACATTTCAAAAGACGGTTGGCAACATATCGATTGGTGAAGCCTGATGGAAGACAACCTATGGTGGCGACATAGGTGCTTACTTCTGTTTCCATCTCATTTAAGACCGTTTGTTGTTCTTTTTTCATCCTCAGTTATTCGTAACACCTTTTCGTTTTGGTCCTAGTAACCTTCAACAAATTCGTGTTCCAATGGTGACATTTAAGGATCCGGTTCATAAATGAGCATTGCCCAAATCATAAAAAAATTAAGAAAAATTAAAAATTAAAAACGCACCAAATACCGATGAATAAGCGGTACGTATACCCAGATGGCAAGCAACAGACTAGTGGCCATTCTGAATCCAAGTCGCCATCTCCATGTCGGTTGACTAACTAACATATAGCAGTTGGTGAAGAACTGTACCACGAGTCCTACCAGCATTAGCGACAGCAGAAAAGCCTAAAATTTTATTCGACGAGGATGCGATACATTCACGATTATAAAGCACGTAAACCCACTACGTGTAGTTTTACTCTTGGAGAGTTTATTAGTTAGAACTTGTAGTAAAAAAAAAAACGAAATCTGTACTCTCCGTCATTACGACTATCCCAATTCTGCTCGCATAGTTTACCACTTTGGGGTTACCAGAAGACAACCCCCTTACCACGGAAAATATCGTTCAGGGCACACTTTTATGCGAAGATATTTCCCAGCACCCTATAAAACCTCTTTAATTCACGGAAACCAGCGTGAATAGAAAGCCACTTATTACGTCGCTGCTTTTTATTCCTCCAAATAAAGGATTTCTTTGTATTTTAGTGTTCAGTCGTTGCTTACCCAAAGTAGATCATTATGCATCGCAAGATGAGGTAGCCACATGAATCTAGGCGTCAGCCCCTAAGTATTAAAATATGCATCATTTCTTTTACTGGAGCATTTTATGAAACTACACGTATCGTTACGGGACTTGACACAATATGAAGCAAGATGTTTTGTGACACACTTTGGTTATAGAATAATTAAATAAAATATTGAAATAGTTGTCAATCCAGAAAAGACTCTTTTTATCTTACTTAATCTTATTGTTACTCCTTGTACCATTCGATTCTTACGACAGTAGTTCATCAATTCGTGAGCGAAGTTCACAAAACAGCCGGTATTAGATCACTCACCAACTGGCCTAGTAGAGACATATCCAAAGCACAGCTGAACCGCTGTAGACCGATGGTACAACCAAACAGGGAGATACCGGAAAAATCGACAAGGAACCAAAAGACATGGTCTTGCAAAGATCGCGAGTGCTAGAATACTTTAAATTTTAAAGCATTGTTTCCATTATTTTTGACGCGTTCCAGCGTTATTGACTATATTAATCGTAACAAGCTATTAATTAGTGATACACAGATGACTAGACGCAAAGGTATTATTTTTCGGCCTCAGCTTTACAAAAGGAAAAGGTTCGACATTTCAATCGGAAGTCCAGCAAACAAGTGCGAGGAATCACTGTAGCACTGGAATTCCTGAGCAAAGAAATGTCTGTGATGATGGCTTGAAAACGTCCAAACACGGTTATCTCGGAATTCGCAAAAAAATTTCACTTTGCAGGTTGGCAACGTAGTAGATGGGTGGAAATTATATTAAAGGATAAAATGAAACTTTCCGCATTGATCAAACCCTGAGGCCCATATTTTGCAAATATCTCAGCATCATTGCTGTTATATTCCACATCATACTCTGCCATGAAAAAATAATGCTATGCAGCAAATAAAAAAGTTGAGCACTGTCACTGTGATTGCTGTTCTTAAAGCTCTTAAGATACGTCAAATATCAACTACATTCATAAAGAATGGTGAGGTTTGGAAAGCAACTATGAAAAGAGCGTTCTGACGACGAATATATTGCAATCTTAGATACAAAACTAAAATCACCAGACAAAAGCAAATAGATGAAAAAAATAGCTACTAAAACCTTCTCCCCACCGTTACAAAGTATCTGAGAAGAGATGTAGAGAAGTGGAAAAATAACTGCTGTATTATAGAGAGACATTTAATGGACTAAATCAGTGCTGGAACTAGTTCTAGTGCAGCAATGATTATTACTTTTTCTTCACCGGCCTCATGGTCTTAATTGAAGTTAGAATATAAATCAGATCATGCATTATTATGTTCATATTCGTTAGAACCAATTCTACCTAGACGCTCTTTGTTTTACCTTCACTGATTTCAAACCAGCTTTGCTGTTCAACATTACTTTCGTGTCTTGTTTCGTCTCACATGAAGAAACACAAACCAATAGGTGTGCTAGACTGGATGCAAGCAACAACATCGCAACACCAGTGTAAAGCACCAGATTCGGAAGTCGTGGTGTAGAGGACAAAAGTTCCGGAATGACATAGAAGGAAACCAAACATACAAACGGTACGAAATGTGACCAGACGTTGATCTATAAACACTAAAATTCTGTCGCTCGATTATTCTGTTTCAATTTGATATTTGCATACTTACTTAACAGCTTTTCGAATCATACTGGCAAAAGCCACGGATCTCCTTCATATGAGGGATCCTGATGTCCGGTTAGTCGCAAGGCTACGTAGCGTGACGCAGGTGCCGTATAGAAGGTTAATCGCGAAACAAAAGCGACGATGCTTCGCTGAGACGCAGTTGTATTCAGGGGATGGACTCCTGCTTCTGCTGCGCTGATTTCGCATATACTTTCTGTATTTACTGGGCGTATTCATGCATGCATGTGTGGGTGCGTTCTCGCTTATGCGGATTGTATTCTACGAGTCAATTCGGCCAAAAGCCTGCAATCAAGTGACTGGGAAGTATATCGGAGGCGGTTAGGAGTCGCCTCCAACAAGTAAGCTCTATGTCCACTCTTAGAGAGCCTGGCAAGCTACCCGTGAGTATACCTAGCCCCACATTCAAAGTCCAACAAGATATGCGAGGGTATTAAAAATGCTAAATACAGTAAAAAAAAAAAGACGGACGTCATTCCGCTGACCTCAAAAGAGCCCCAATTCGGCAGCGTTGGGTAGGACGAGTACGGGGAGCCTGCTAAAATCTCAGGAAAAATGGAAGCTGCCTGAATTTCAAAGGACTATGGTGACGATCTGTACCTACAATGCACGTACGCTTGCATCCAAGTCTACTATAGAAGACTTGCCCCTGCAAGCAAGAAGGATAAAGTGCGACGTCATCGGCCTGGCCGAGACGAGAAGACGCCAGCCATTCAACGCCGTCTATGATACCAGAGAAGAAGTGTTTCCCGGAACATGCGACAGTAGAGGAGTCGGCGACGGCGGCGTTCTCGACAACACGAATTTGTCATTGAACATTGATTCATTCGAACAACTTACAAACCGAATCGGACGTCTACGATTACAAGATGCAGATCAATAGACTCACAATTTACGTCGTTTACGCGCTCCCATCAAACTGTGACGAAAAAGAAGTCGAAGCGTTCTATATGGACTTGCAGAAATTGTGCAGAAAAGACCATACAATTTTCAAAGTCATTATTGGATATTTCAACGCCAAGATTGGACCAAGAACGCCTAAGGAAAGTCACATTGGAACCCATCGATTATGGAACGAGCAGGGTAAGCGGCTGTCTGAGTTTATCATGGCGACCAAGTCCATGGTAACTCTCAATTCCAGAAACCCCACCCTCAACGCTGGACGTGGGAATCTTTCAATGGAGAGTACCATAGCGAAATAGACCACATCATAACAAAAAGAAGGTTTTACCTAACCGATGTCGCTGTTATCCCAAAAATTTTCGCGGGATCAGACCATAGTCTCCTTCCTACAAGATTCTACTTCTCGCGGAAAAGAGGAAAAGCCGCTAAATTTAAAAAACGAACTTCCAAAACCACCATTAACTGGGACTTATTGAATTCAGTGGTCTACTGCTAGGATGATGCCGATCTCGACAACATCCACGAAGAATGCGATCGGCTCATTGAACATCTTCACATTAGCACTATGAAAGCTGAAAGTACGAAAGTCACCAAGAGCCATATATCTCCAAAAACACTCCAGCTGATACGCCAGTGTGGAATCGCATGAGTTACAGGCAACCGCGAACTAACGAACGCTCGAGCTTGCAAAACAGTGCAGATAGGAGATAAAAGAAGATCTTAAGAGAGAAAAGCAGCAGTAATGGTCGATACTGCATAGGCTAGAAAAAGCACTCGCAATGCCTACCGACGCTTCGGCATTTACAAAACCAAGATTATTGCTCTTCGATGCCCAGACGGAACAGTCACACCGTCTAGAAAAGCAATGGAGAAAATCAGTCACGAATACTACTCAGATCTCTTCGATGGAAACGTCCACTTTCCGTCATACGAAATAAAGGAGGGTGGGTATTACCTGAAAAACATCCCGCCAGCCCTCGTAAACGCACTAGCTCGGCCCTTCAAACGTTACCTGTCTGTATGCAAAGTTCCTACACCGTCGAAGATCGGCAGGGCCGTGTTCTTGCTCAAGAAGGGTGACCTACACGATATCGGCAACTATCGCCCAATTTGCTTGCCGTCTGTCGTCTACAAAATTTGCACTCGGGTCATCATCCTAGACAGCAGGATCGACAGAACACTCGACGATGGACAGCCATGTGAGAAAGCAGAGTTTCGAAGTGATTTAGTACGATGGAGCACATTCACCTGATAACAAGACTCATTGAAAAATCGCGAAAGTACAAAAGGCCGGTCTGCCTCACTTTGACTGGTTTAGAAAGGCCTTTGATTCAATTGACATCAGTCATGGAAGCCCTTGATAGTCAAGGAGTCCTTATTTAGTACCTGATTTTACAACGAAAACGTTACCATTTTACAACGGTATTAACATTGACGTCAAAAGAGGAGCTAAGTGAGGCGACACGATTTCGCCGAAATTATTTACCGCCACCCTCTAGAACGTCATGCGAACATTGAAATGGGATAATGTGAGAGTGAAAATCAATGGTAGGAAGTTACACCATCTTCGCTTTGCTGATGACATCTTATAGCACTAAACATTAGCTAAGCGAAACGTACGTTTGCCGACTTTGTTAGAGCTTGTGGAAAGATTGATTTTCGACAAAACCTCACAAAAAGGATGTTCGTGAGGAACGGATTGGTTTCGCATGCCCATTCAGGCTCAACGGAACGAATATCTCCGAATGTTCCAGCTACGTCTGTCTCACTCACTCACTCACTGTAGTCCCGTTGAGCGTTGAGTGACTCGAGCGGGCGCCAGTAAATCTTCCATTTTCCCTTGTCGCGTGCAAGAGTAGCCCAGTGGGTTCTGCTCGTTCCAGGGACTAGTGGAGCATCATATCTTTCTTCAAGGCTTTTCGTGGAGAGCTCTGACCATCGGGTCAGTGATCTTCTTGCAGCACGTTTGACATCCGGGAAATCCAGTCACTAACGGCTCTTGCCAATCTGTTGTCGTTCATACGGATTACGCGTCTGGCCCACCTTATCTTCGACTGTTTGACATACAAAACCGCATCTTTGATTTTTGATCATTGACGCAGATCGGAGCTTCGGATCCCATCTCTTACTTGTGTGGAACGGGATACTCCTAGCATCGTCCATTCGTCTGCGCGTTCGACAACGTTGAGTGATTTTTCATCTTCCTTAAGCAGCGACTAGGTTTCTGACGCATTCGTCAGGCCAGGAGGTACCGTTGAGTCGGAAAGGTAGACACGAAGTCGCGTATTCCTTGTTCTCTTCACTACATCCTCGATGCTTTTGAAAGCTTCCCAAGCCGCTCGTTTTCTTCTGCTCAGCTCTGCAGCTAGGTCGTTCATCATGTTGATTTCCCGACCTAGATAGACATAACTGGAGCATTAGGAGAAACTCGTTCCTTTGAGCGTGAATGGGGCATGCGAAATCAATCCGTTCTTAACATCGTTTTTGTGAAATTTAGTCGAAGACCAATCTTTCCACAGGCTTTATCAAAGTCGTCAAGCATACGTTTGGCCTGGCTAATGTTTGATGTTATAAGAACGATGTCATCAGCAAAGCGATGATGGTCAAATTTTGCATGACTTTCTGGAGGGTGGCGGTAAATAGTTTTGACGAGATGGTATCGCCTTGTCTAACTCCTCTTTTGACGTCAATTTTAATGTCGTTGTAGAATGGTGATACTTTAGTTGTTAAATTTTTGTTCAGCTCACGAAGAATTTTTATGTACTGAGCAGGGACTCGTTGAATATCAAGGGCTTTTCAAGACTGCTCCAATCTCAAATGAATCAAAGGCCTCTGTAAATCGATGAAAGTGAGATAGAGCGGTCGTTTGTACTCTCGCGATACCTCAATGAGCAAGGAGCCGTGTTATCGCGTGGATGTGGTCCATCGTACTAAACGCTTTTCGAAACCCTGCTTGTTCACATGGCTGTTCTTCGTCCAGTGTTCTCTCAATCCTGTTTAGGATGACTCCAGTGAAAAGTTTGAAGACGACAGACACTAAGCAAATTGGGCTATAGTTGCCGATATCGTGTAAATCACCTTTCTTGAGCAGTAGAACGGTCTTACTGGTCTTCCATTCAGTAGTTACCTAGCATTCGAACAGGTAATGTGTGAAGAATCAAGCCAGTGTGTTTACGAAGACTGGCGGCGGAAGGTACTTCAGGTGTTCTGGTCTTATCCTATCCGGACGTGGTGCTGTTCGATTGCTCACCGACGAAATGGCATGTCAGATTTCGGAAGGGCGAACCGGCGGTACAACATATCCATCCTTTTTTATTTCATATAACGAAAGGTAGACGTTGCTGTCGAAGATATCCGAGTAGTATTCGTAAATGACTTTCTCCATTGCTTTTCTGGACGCTGTTACTGTTCGTCTGGGTGCCGGAGTGCAATCATCTTGGTCTTGTAATTGGCGAAGCTTTGGTGGGCTTTGAGAATGCTTTTCCCAGCCTCTGTGGCTTCGGCCATTATTGCTGCTCTTCTCTCTAAGATCTTCTCTTATCGCCTCTCTGCACTGCTTTGCAAGTTCGGACCTTAGTTCGCGGTTGCCTGCACCAAGTGCGATTCCACGCTGGCGTATCAGCTGGAGTGTTTCTGGAGATAACCGTCTCTTGGTAACTTTCGAACTGTCAGTTTTCATAGAGCTAACGTGAAGATGTTGAATAAGCCAATCGTATTCTTCGTCGATGTTATCGACAACGGCATCTTCCCAACAGCCGACTAATGAATTTAATAAGTCCCAGTTTACGGTGGTTCTGGGACTTCGGTTTTTGAAATTAGCGTCTTTCTCCCCTTTCCGCGAAAAATAGAATCTTGTACGAAGGAGGCAATGGTCTGATTCCGTGTAGAATTTTGGAACAACAGCGACATCAGTTAGGCAAAACCTTCTATTTACTATGATGTGGTCTATTTCGCTATGGTACTTTCCATTGGGAGACTCCCACGTCCAGCGCCGAGGGTGGGACTTCTGAAATTGTGAGTTACCATGGATTATCTTGTTCGCCATGATAAACTCAGATAGCTGCTCACCCTGTTCGTTCCATTCTAATCCGTGGGTCCCAATGTGACGTCCTCCAGACGTTCTTCTCGGTCCAGTCTTGGCGTTGAAATCTCCATTGATTTCCTTGAAGAATGTGTGGTCTGTAGAACTTCCCCAAGTCCGTATAGAACGCTTCGACTTCTTCGTCAGAGTTTGATGTCGGCGCGTAAACGACGAAGATTGTTAAGGGTGGAATTGATCCACGCCTATTTTAATCGTAAACGTCCGATTCGGCTTTTAAGTTATTCGAATGAATCAATGTTCATGGAAAAACTCGTGTTGTCGAGAATGCCGACGTCGCCGACTCCTTTACTGTCGCATGTTCCGGGAAACACTTCTTTTCCAATGGCATAAACGGCGTTGAAAGGCTGGTGCCTTCTCGTTTCGGCCAGACCGATGACATCGTACCTTATCCTTCTTGCTCGCATAAGCGAGTCTTCTATCGAGGACTCGGATGCAAATGTACGTGCATTGTAGGTACAGATCGTCACCATAGTTCTTCGTGATCCAGGTAGCTTCCATTTGTCTTGAGCCGAATTGGGGCTCTTTTGAGGTCAGCGGAATGACGCCCGTTTTTTTTACTGTGTTTAGCATTTTTGATACCTACGTTTAGCTTGCTGGGCTCTGAACGTGGAGACTGGGTATACTCACGGATAGCTTGCCAAGCTCTCCCAGACTGGACATGGAGCTTATTTGTTAGAGGCAGCTCTTAACTATCTTTGATATACTTCCCTGTCACTTGATTGAAAGCTTTTCGACGAATTGACTCGTAGAATACAATCCGCATAAGCAAGAACGCACCCACACACGCATGCATAAATACGCCTAGCAAATACAGAAAGTATGTTCCAAATCAGCGCAGCAGAAACAGGGAGTCCATTTCCCTGGTTCCACCTGCGTCTCAGTGAAGCAAAGGTCGTTTTTGGTCTGCGTTTAACCCCCTATCCGCAACCTGGAAACACGCTACGTGGCTTCGCAACGAACCGGCTCGAGATCCTTCGTATGAGGAAGATCCATGGATGTCTGTCTAGGTCGGGAAATCAACATGTTAAACGACTTAGTTTTAGCGCTGGGCAGAATGAAACGAACGGTTTGGGGAGCTTTCAAGAGCGTCGGGGATGTAGTAAAGAGAACAAAGAACACCAGACTCCGTGCCCACCTTTTCGACTCAACAGTACTCCCTGCTCTAGCTCTAACGTATGCGTCAGAAACCTGGTCGCTGCGTAAGCAGGATGAAATATGACTCAGAGTTATCGAACGTGCAGTCGAAAGGACGATGCTAGGAGTATCCCTTTCCACAGAAGTAAGAGGTGGGATCCGAAGCTCAGATCTGCGTTAACGATCAAAAACAAAAATGCCGTTCTGTACGCCAAAGAGTCGAAGATAAGGTGGGCCGGACACGTAATGCGTACGAATGACAACCGATAGACAAAAACTGTTAGTGACTGGATTTCTCGGTGTGTCGAACGTACTGCATGGAGACCACTGACCCGATGGTCAGAGTTCTTCACGAAGAGCCTGGAAGAAAGGCATGTTGCCCGACGAGTACCTTGAGCGAGCAGAACCCACTAGGCTACTCTTGCACGGGACAAGGGAAAATGGAAGATTTACTGGCGCCTGCTCGGGTCACTTGAGGAACAACAGGGACTACAGGTGATACAGGTGGTACTGGCAAAGGGATTTTTTTCTGCGGCCTACTTCGGGATACTTATCTCTACCACAGTAATGCTAATGAAGAAATCGACATTTCTGTTTAGAAATCTAGTTAAACGGTCAATCACTGACAGAAATGCACGTTATGTTGAAGAAATCCTAGTCCCAACATAGGAAAACACCCTTCGATAAACACGATATGCCAAGTACTGACGTTGATTACGACGTACGAACGCCATTCCGTGGACGCCTCGAAACTTCGAGGAGTGCTCTTTGATTATGTGTTCAGAAGAGCAACCAGCATTCGTGTTTATAGTAGCATTTAATGGATGCATTATGGAGTGCTGGTGATGTGTCGTAGAGCTTAGTCTTTCCTCTCAAGAAATGGACCAAGGCAAACGTCGTACAAGTCAAAAAGAAAAAATAGCGCATTACACTCGTTTCTAGTGAAGAGATACTTAAGCGAATAGTGAACTGCGGAAAGTATTCACCTATTTTTCAGTTCACTGCTTCTAAAATCC